AGGGACCGTGCGCGGGGCGGACGTGACCGGAGGAGGCGTGATGATAGCCGGTAGGCTAAATCACGAGGGTTGCGGCCGATAGGCTTGCGCCCGCCCTCCGATGGTCAACGCTGCGGGGTGGTGATCATGTTCATCCTGCGCCGCTGAGGCGTGTTGGTCGTGTCTCTCCTGTACCGCTGATCTGCTGCTGGTGATGGTCACCAAGGAGTAGTGTGAGTGAGCGGAGAAGCAAACCAGTGGAGGGTACTCCCAGGTTTGCGACATTAGTATTCTATTTCAAGTACGCATGGTCAGGTGTACCTCTCGCCGATAGGCAAGGGTACAGATTGAACAAATAATATCCTTTTTCATGGCTTCTGATAAGAATTGAACTTCTTGCATTTCTGATGCAAACAGTTGTGACCTATTGTCGTCATGTGAATTTAATGCCCGGGATGTCGCGCGACTGCCTTTGTGGGTTTGCTCCACCGCTGACGGCGGTAGTGTCCAGCTGTTTGCGGACGTATGCGAGCAGTTAAATCCTATCAGTAAATGGCACGCTCCACCCGTCATATGACGGGCTCCTCGTGAGGGGGGTGTGATTAGCCATGATTTGTTTCATCACCAGGGATGTCGCGGTAGTGACTGACCTGTGATGTTTGGCTCAAGTTTATGGGTTCCGTCGCGCCTCGGATGGGCGTCGCAAAACCCCTGCGTCGACCGACGGCATCTCGGGGGAGAAAGAGACCTCGACCCGCCGTCAGGTTGGTAGGGATCATTCGTGCGGCCTGTCGTCGATCAAGGTTGCGGGTTAACTCTTTTCTCTTTTGGTTGTTGTTCTCTGGTGTGTGGGAAACCCTGATCTTTGGGACCGGGGATTGGTTTGCTTTTGGGGAACCTTTCTTTTGCGGCTTGTTTACCCCAACTTACCCATTGCCTGGGCACAGGCTCGTGCCCGAATCGCAGGACATAATGTTCATTATCATCTTTTTCAATTCGTAATAGATTGATATGACAAGATGGTCTTTCAATTTTTGTTATTCTGTCTGGTCTGATGGTTTGGTTCTCATCTTCAACATAAACATTAACTGATATAGATTTGTTATTGATTTCTTCAAAATGGTCTATGTCATCATTGGATGCTGGAAAATTCACACCATCCCATTTAATTAGACTTTCAGTAGTTTTTAATTTCTTGTAGCGTCTCATATGTTGTGGATGGTCTTTCTTGAAGACTTCATAAAATTTACATAAAACACAATATTTAAAACATAACTCATCTTCATTCTGTATGTTGATACATGCCTTTTTAATTGAAATCCATTCTGGTAGTTCCATATATTTTCCTGCTCTGTTCGGGTTGTATTTGTCGTAGTGGATGGTGATTTTGTTAATCTTACTAATCTTCAATCCTGAATGTTTCAAAGGTGAGTTTTCAATTTGTAGTTCACTGTGTTTAGGCATATTTTCCAATGCTTTTTTCAAGTCTCCTACATTTAGAATGTTGTATCTCCTACTCCTCATATTGTGTTTTATTGGTTTGTGTTCCTCAATTGGTTCATCTTCTCCATCATCCTCTTCTTGCTGTCTAACTTTATCAAAAATAACCTCAACGTCAATCAGTAGTTTCATTGACTTTGCTTGTTGTAAAAACCCTGTTAGTTTCTCTTCTTGCCATAAAAGATATGTTAATCCTTTGTATTCCTTGAATGGTATGTTGGATATTGAATATGTGTCGGCGTACCCTTTCAATGCTGAAAATGTCTCTGATGTTTTTGCTCCTATTTGTAATCTGTATTTCTGGATTGTTTTAATGCCTCTCATTGTGTTTGATGCTTTCTTTAGAAGATGAAATCGTTTGAAACCTTGTGTGTTGCTGACTTGATTGAGTTTGTTTTGAAGTGATGAGGACAATGGTTTGTCTTTGTTGTAATAGTATTCTTTGTTGTTGATGATTAGTTTTTTCAATGGTTTGTTATTCTTCCCTGTTTTTATTTGACCTTCATTATTGGAGATTAAATATTCAATTACTGAACCCGCGCTGTATTCCCCTGCCATTTATCTATACTATATAAGGTATTTTCTCTTTAAGTCCTTTTGGGGGCGGGTTTGGGTTGTGGGTTTGGATTTTGTGGGCTTGGGTTCAACGTTGAAACTGTCGTTGAATATGTATCTCATCAAAGTGTCAGTTTCAATACAACATCTGAAACTGGAACTTTGATGCATATATTATATATATACCCCTACAAAATTTAGGTGGAGAATCCAAAAAAACACGGTATTTAGGTGGTCAGTCCCCAAAAAATATTTAGGTGGTCAGTCCCCAAAAATTATTTAGGTGGTCAGTCCCTGAAAAAAACAAAACAGTTAGGGAGGAAGCCGCCACGCCAAGTAGATGACAACATAGTAGGTCAAGTTCACGATGACTTCCAACCTCGGCATTGGATAAATGAAGGTCAAGTGGATGAATGTGTTTCAATGTGGCATGGTGCTTACGACTGACAGCACTGATTTTTCCTCAAAATCGCCCCAATGTGTTTATGTAGCAAAAAATTTTTGCTATGTACAAACATAATGCTTGTCATCCCCATTCATCTAACAGTCAATGCTAGACAAAAGTGCGTTGTCTTCATCCGAAGCAACTTTGTTTATATGTACATATCCTACAACTGTCAGACATCACGAGCAGTTGCGAGGTTGTTGCAACTGGTGGTTGCGAGGTTGTAGCAACTAAACAACTGTGGTCAAAGAAAAACACCTGTTTCTGGTTGAGAGGTTGTTGCAACTGGTGGTTGCGAGGTTGTTGCAACTGGTGGTTGCGAGGTTGCTGCAACTGCTCAACTGACAGTATTAGGACTAAAAATTACATGACTGTACAACGGTTGGTATCATCAGTGCTTTCATTAGCCTCAAATGCTGCCTGTACAGTTGAATTGCGACGCAACCTTTCACGAAACTCGGCCGCGCTCTTCAGCTGGTCTCTAAAAGACTGGTTGGAGTAGGTGGCTTCGCCCGACTTGTATTCGTGGTAGATGGTAGCAAAACTCTCCACGAAGCTCAAAATGATGTTATTTTTGACACTCCCCAAGTGATTGTGTAGTCCTCCAACTTTGTCAAATCCGAAGCCAACATTACCTTGGCGGCCTTCATAATGTTTTCCTCTGAATGCACGCCTGACTTTTTCTGGAAGATGCTGCGGAGGCAGGAAATGTCATCGTCGGTTAAGACCTCAATGGAGTTCTGAAAGACAGGCTGACCTTGTAGAGCTTGACCCTTCAACCGTTCCATTTTGTCTTTGAAAGGACGGACAACTTCAAGAAGTTCTGGCGGAATTGACCCACTGGCATCAACTTGTTCAAGTCTGTTTTCCACCACCTTCTTCGACTTCTTGATGAGAGCTTGTAGTGCCTCTTCTTTCTGGTGTGTAGGTTGATGACACGGCGAGAGGAAGAAGCCATCAGGTCAAATGACTCTTGAGACTTTAAGCAGTCTAAACACTTTCTCTGGCACAAAACGCCTGCGGTCAGTCAATCAATCTCATCCACCAGCAATGTATTCAAAGTGTGTGTCAACGGTCATCATCAAGCACAAGACGCTCGTTTTTGTTTGCTGTCCAAAATGTTCGCCTGTCAAATGACACTGGTGTCAAGTATCCCAAGCAATTCAATAGCAAAAGCCGAAATCAACAAAGCTTGTAAAACCGTGTGTTTGTCTTTGTTTCATTTTGAATTGCTTTGTCCTTGACCTTGGACGAAGAGAAATGCTGTTCTCTCACTTCTTGCCATCCTTCTTGGATGTGGATGCCTTTGATGATGATGCCTTTGATGATGATGCCTTTGACTTTGCCCTGACCCTTGTGGTGTCCCCGACCTGAATGATTGCGCCTGATGTGATGTCTCAAGAGTAAAGAGGACGACACGCGTGAGAATTGAGCGACTGGTTGTTGTAGACATAGTCGTGAATGTTGAGGGTTATAACCTTGGTCTTGGTGAGGTTCATCTCGTTGAGCTTGTTGCCGTGCTGCTTGTAGAATGCCTCGCGGAGGTCTTTGAATGTGTAGTGTGGTAAACCTCAACCTTAAACTCCACACCATTCAGCACCAAGGTTAAGACAAAATATTTGCTCTTGTCGCCTTTCTTGACCTTGGTGGTGGAGTGCAACGCCTGTTTCACATACTTGTACTTCTGGTAGCTGGTCATGTATTCAATCTCCAGCTCCTCCATCATTTCTGTAATCTGCTCAACATCCTTGTCCTCAATGAGTGCACCAACCGTAATCAAGAAGTCATCGTCATTGTTGACATCCCACGGTTCAAGTTCCTCATCACTGCTTGTTGACACCTCGCTTTCTTGTCCTTCTTGAAGAGCCTTGGCCACCTCCTCATCGTGCTCATAGCCGCCCTTCTGAGACGCCATTGTAACCAAAGCAAAGGTAAGGCGAAGTGATGGTCTCTACTCAAAAGCTTTATTGAAAGAAGGGACGGCGAAAAGCAATCAAGATACATTCATCACATCAGCACACAACCAACTGGCCTGTCAGTCTTCTGCAATCTGGGTGTCCCGACAGGAACAAATGAAGACGATGTCGAAGATGACACAAGTAGATGACCGGAGCAAAGTCGCGTGGTAAAAACACACATTACCTATAACCACGTTGTTTGAACCCTAAACAGCACCTATATGTTTAACATTGAACCCTGAGCCCTAAACAATCTTGACAGTTTCAACCCTAAACAATAACAACCACCAAAAAAGTTTCTGGGGGACACAAAACCTGAACCTTGAAAATGTCAATATCTTAGACTGTTATTTAATGAAAAAAATGTAAAAACAAAAAAATGTTTAGAAATTTTAGGAAAAATCCCCACAATCCTTCTTGGTGTTTTGAACAAAATGGTTTGCTTGTTGAAAACTAACCCTGCCCCTGAAACTGAAAACTGAAAGTTCCCTGCCTTACACGCCCCCTAACGATTTTTTCCCTTGAACCCGCCATATGCCTCGAGTCAAGATTCTGTGGCACAGGAGCCGTACAAGGCGGAGCCCGAGGAGCGGGAACTGGGAACGTTGCCGTCTGTTCAAGGGCCGTGCTCTCCCAAGGATCCCAAGGATCCACGGGTGTAGCACGGTGGGTGTTGCTGCAGTCTGTTCAAGGGCCGTATCGGCCGTGCTATCCCAAGGATCCACGGTGGGTGTTGCAGGATCTGATCGACCAGCACGTGGCGTACTTCCTTCGGAAGAATCCACAGGCGACATAGCTGCATAGCTGTCGGCTCTCAGTTTGATCCTGCCAGGTGCGGCCGCGCCACAAGATTCAGCGGCGGAGCCCGGGAGTGTGCGCGGCTTGGGCTTGACCTGTGTACTGCTTATGTGCAATATGGTACCTGTGCGGTACCTGCGGTGCGGCTGTGCGGCAGGTACCTGCTGGACTCTCGGGATGTGCAGATCGAGTGGCAGTATGCCACGGAGCCAGGCGGACAGGCCCGGGACGACCAGCCGTTCAGTGAGCAGAACGTGCGGGACATGTCAGGGATTCCTGGTGGTGGTTGACGGTCCGCTGCGGCAGCCGTTCAGTGACTACATGATGGACACGGAGGTCTGAGGTGAAGTGAGAGCTGAAAAGCGGGGAGTTTTAGAGATGGCCAACATGCCTGCACTTAGAAGCTGTTCCTGGGCAGGAGAATGCGACCTACGATGGCCAAGACATTGTCCAGAGCAATCTGCACCTTATCGCGCGGGCGGGGTGCCAGTGGTATGTTTGGTGGAGTGACGTTGCTTTCCATCAGTGTTTGCCCGAGACAGTGAGAGGGTTCAAGGCACTGTGCTTGGCGAAAGAATGAGCGCAGCAAATCACAGCCGTTGGCTCCTCAAGGACCGGCGCATCTCCTTCAATGACACGCACAAGGCTCGGAAGGGGAAGCTGTCATGCCCCAACCTTGGACACGGGCGAGCAATGGCTAGCACTCCTTCAGGTGTACAACCGCTTGGAAGCCATGAAAGTGGCGAAGGCAAGGCTTTCGATGGGGCCGGCGGAGAGTCACGAATCAAGAAAAACACGGTGCGAGACAGGAAGAGGCGTCAATGAATTACACGTCACGCATCCAATCTGAAGACTCACACGACCAGTCCTCCTTTTTTTTCTTTTTTCTATCTCTCTCTCTCTCTCTCTCTGTCTCTCTCAGTGTCTGTCTGTGTCTCTCTGTGTCTGTTCTGTGTGTGTGTGTGTGCCTGGACAATTCAATGTGTGCCGCTTCCGCAGCAGTTTTCTTTGAGGGAAGTGTCAGACATGGCTCCAGATATGTGACTTCAAGTCCCCAAGCCAATCCAAACCACCAAAGGGCTAATTGACGTGTTGCAAGGAGAGGGTTTGCTTTGGGTTTGAGGTTGCTGGCTGTAACTGTGGTGCTGTGGTGGTCAGGAGCAAGCGCTGGTTCGAGAGAAGGCTGCAAGCTATGTCAAGGAGATGTGAAGCTGCAGCATGGTACCTTTGACACTGCCCCATGCCACGCAGGATGGCCGCGACGTGCCACAGGATCTGATGGCGCGCTACAAGAAGCCCCCCGACGACAAGGGGGAAGCTGCATGAAGCGGGAAGTTAGCCTTGCGATTTTGCAAGACCTCGGTATTATGCCGGTGTTCGAACTTGCTGTGCCCAAGGACCATCCAGGTGAAGCTAGGCCGGGGGCTTGCAATGCATAGGCAAATAAATGGAAGAGCGTTGCAATTGGGCAGGCCTTTGCCGCCCAAAGGGCGTGCGGCCCACAGCCGAGGAAGTGCCGTTCCGGGCTCAGTTGCTTTGGAACTGTACTGCAAGGAGACACGAGATGTTGCAAGGGTTGAACGCATGGCATCGCAAGTGACCGTGAGGTCTCCTCAAGCACAAACCTCGCAGCCGGCACCGGCGCCGCCTACGCCAGAGCCACCCTCCCCGCAGCCGCCGCCGCCTCCCTCTCCAGCGCCGCGGGCGCATGGCCAAAGCGCTGGCAAAAGCGCTGGCACTGGGCAAAGCACTGGCAATGGCAATGGCTACGGCTACAATGGCTACAGCGGCCATGCGGCACGCGCGGAACACGGCAAAAGGCATGGCAGCCATGGCAACAGCCACAGCAGGGGCCACAGCACTGGCGGTAGCCACAGCCACACTCCGCATGGGACTTCCGCACCTGTACCTCCACCCGCACCACCAGTCGGGCGGATGCACAGTGGCCAGGCGCGGTGTCTTGGGGTTTCCTCAGTTGAGTCTTAGTTTCTGTACTTCGTCAGCTGTTTCCGGCCTTTTGGGCTCAGCCAATCTGCCGCCAAAGTCTTTGTCAGGGAGCCTCCTACGCTCCGTCTCCCAAGCCTTCTGCCAGGCCTGAAACGTGAGGCTCAAGACTTCAAGGATTCACATGTTCTCAATTGGTCAGGGGAAGCATGTGCGTCGTGAAAGCAGCTGATTGCTTTCAATGTGGCAGGCCGGTGGCTGACGCGGGAGGCTGGGCACTCGCACACTGAAGCGGCCGAGTCACCGGGTTGCGTGGCAATCTGGCAATCCGTGAGGATCTGCGACGCCTGGCTTGCCCGTGCCTCCACCCCTGGCTTTGCCCGTGCGGCGGGGCGCTTCGCTGGGTCTTGTGTCGCATTCGAAATCCGCAGGCAATGGGCAGCTCCCAACGTTCTCCCGGTTCTCCTGGGCGCAGGCAGCTCCCGATGTCGGAGCGTTCGGATGGGTTTCGCATGGCTCGACGTGCGTGAGGAACGCCGACAGCCGCTGGGCATCCGCCTCGGGCAAGCGAGCGGGAGAGTTGCCAGGGGTCCCTTGGGGTCCCTTGCCAGCCTGGATCCGCGGGCTCAAGCATTGGCCAAAGAGGCCCATAGTTCCCTTTTGACTTTGTTTGGGACCATGCGTTGTCAAATCCGTAATTGGTTGCCACCCAGGTCTTGCAGCAAAGAATCAGACATGGAACATTCAGGAGACTTCCAGACACGTTTCCAACAGAAGGCTTTGGCTTGTTTGCTACCGGCTCATCCCTTGCTACGCGATGGCATGAGATGCCTAGCTGTGTGGCCTGGCGGCAATCACTGAGATCTGCAGGTCGGCACATCTGCACGTGCCTGCTGCTAGATCTTGCAAGTTGCAACGTACTCTGGTTGGTCTGTCCGGATGGATGCTCAGCTAGAGCTGAAGCCCAGACCAAGGCTTTGGCTGCTGCTCTGTTCGGTGAAGAGTCTTTCAGCACGCGACTCACGCCACTGAGACCGCAAAGGACCTGGACACATTTGGCCAAGCCGAGGTGCAGAGAGAGGCAGCTGTCGTGCACCTGAATGAAGGCAGGCACCTGCCAGAGTTGGCCTCCACGGTTGGCTTCGTGAGGGAGTTTAGTATTCTTTGCAGGCGATTGGGCCATCGGCCACGGACGGCGGCTTGCTAGGCAGGATGTGCTTGACATGCGGGAGGGAAACGCAGACTTGACAGGAGCTGCCATGCGCGACTCCTGCTGAAGCCCCGTGGTGGTGGTCTGGAGCACTCTAGGCGCTTGGCCAGGCCGGTGTTGCCGCGTTGCCCTCCTCTCTCAGACATCACGTTGAGCCCTCAGGAGCCTGAGTTCCGTCCATGGCCTTCGAAACTGCAGCTGGCATCATTTGCTCCCCGGACCGCAGAAGTGGCAAGAGGGGGGCCAAAAGATCAAAAGACTCAGCCAAGGACCCGACTCAGCATCGACATCGCAGAGTTAGACTGCCAGGACGGGGCACCGAGAGTGTCAGGCACTCGAGCCACTCGAGCTTCTGAGAATGTTGAGGATGTCAACGCCACCTTGAAGTACATCGCCGAGAACTTTGCGGAGCAGCTGGAGTTCATCGAGCTCGACGCGGCTTGGGCGGCACGGTTTGCCCAGGTCTTCCGCCTTGGCTTCCGCCTTGGTGCCGCCTTGGTGCCGTTGTATTGTACCGTGCCGGTTGCAAATCACCCAAGGAGCAAATCTACTTCCCGCAAGGGCTGCCGGTGGATCCGCTCTGGACTTCGCCCGGGCCCAGGCGTTCCTAAGCAAAGGCCTGCAAACTACGATATATTGGAGCCAAAGATGGAACCATTTGCTTGTTTGCTGTCTCGGCCTTCTCGCTCTCTCGACATCTCTCGACCGAGGCAGTGGGGCACCCAGCGTGTGGGGTTCGCGGGCGCATGGGCCCAGCTGGAGGCTCTCACCACGACGCCCAGCGACGTGGCTCGGCGAGCATCGGTCGAGCCAGCTTCGCAAGACTTGTCTCTGGAAGTTCCATGCATCAGCCGCACTGTTGCTGACGGATGCTTAACTTGATCTGTGACGTCTTGTTCACACATTTCTCATTGGCAGTTTGACCGGCTCGCTCGCCAAGGTTGTCGTAGCGCTGATCGACACTGGCATGAACTTCAACCATGAAGATTTGCAAGGCAGGGCGTATGGTCTTTTGCTAGAATTCCTACACCTGTCATCTGTCCAGGCAGGTTCTGGGTGAACACAGGGGAGATACCGGGGAACGGTGTGGACGATGACTTCAATGGCGCCCTGACAGCAGCACTCGGACCTCCCCCACAAAATTTAAAATGCCAGCGATGAACCCAATGAGTTGCTAGGGATTTGATGGTAGGGGACGCGCCTTTCTGAGGGTTTCGAATAGAAGTGCTTGGCGAGGGACTATTCGATGAATGGGCAGCTTGATGTTGGCGCTGGCCGTTTGTTGGCAAGGCTTTGTAGATGATGTGAACGGCTTCAACATCGTGGCCACTCGGCGTGCCTTTGGTCAAGTGAGCAGCAGCAGCTCAGAGCAAAGCACGTTCCATGCGGTGGCGGCTGGGAAGCTGATGAATCGACTGTATGCATCTCCCCATTCTCATCGAGATGATCGTTCTTTTCGATTGTTTTGATCCGGGTCGGTTTCTCTCAAGCATCGGCACGGCTGGTGAGAATGGAATTGGTAGCTTCAGCCCAGAGAACTGGGTGATTGTGAGGGGGGGTGCTTTTTTTGGCATTTGTTGGAATGGATTTCCCCCTCTTCTCAGGACAGGAATGGCAGTCCCGTGGACGATGGAGGTCATGGCACTCACAATGCCGGCATCATTGCCGCGCAACTCAACAACTTGGGCGTGGCAGGTTGGGGCTGAAGAGATTGGCGAGACCGTGTCAAAATAATAGGTACGGGTCGGAATCGAAGGATCAGCCAAGCGGCCAGCCGTTGGCAAGGCTGCTTGATGAATTTCAACGGCTGTCGCCCTGTGCCTCACCCCCTTAGTGTGCGACATCACTCAGACTTCTCAAGCAGGCGACACCATTGTTGGATTCCATTTCCAGCACGCCCACATTCTTGCTCGAGGGCTGCAATTCCAGGTCGACCATTCAAGGCCGTCTAAGGTGGAATCGAGCCCAGAAGCTGCCCAACAGCCCTTGCATGGCACTGATCTACTAGCATCACCAGAAGATCCCGTGTATGTACTATAAATATATCTTATAGGCAATTACATGCATCCCCAACGGCTGCATGTATTACAGGTGCAGCCATCGCGTTCCACCCTTCCCAGGCCCCTCCCTTCTGGGATGAACGGGTTTGCGGATTTTGACTTTCCCCAGTACGGACTTGGGAGTTGTTTTCCGAATGAGGAGTCAGAGATTCTTTGAAGTGTTTATAGTATGTCATAGTCATGCAGAGATTCTACCTCGCCTAGCTGTTCCAGCCTGTTTGTGCATCGAACTTTGAGCTGGGAAGCGTGCAGCTTTGTTGAAGTTGCAGCACCGGCAAACCCTCCCGGTAGCACCAGAGAGGCGCCGCTGGCCGCAACCAGCACATCAAGCTGATGGTGGTGAAGGCTCGAATGCGGTGCAGCCTTGAGGGCAACCCGACAAGTTCTTTTGTTCGGGAGCAAGCCTCAAACAGAGCTGCTATTGCGCTTTAATCTGTGCAGTCATGCTCTTTGGGACTGGAGCAGGCACTGACCAGCCAGGGCGGCTACAAAAGTGATGCCATCGAGGCCTGGTCGCCTTCACAAGTTCTCAGCCGGCCAAACCCATCAGGTTGTTCTTTTCATTTTCTCTCATTGCCACCAGAGGCTCATTGCGGCAACAGTGAGTCTCGCTCTCTCTCACACTCTCACTCTTGAAGAACATGACTTCTTGGAGACTCAGACGAATTGTGCGCGCAAATCCGTGAACAATGTCTTGAGGGGATCCTTTTCTGAATTTCGGAGAATATGGGCCCTGTTTTTTCCTAGGTTTGGCGAGGTGTTGCCCGGCGTGATGGTGGGGTGTCCAGTCGCTCTGTCGGTTGGTCGGTCGGGCCTCCTGAACCCACCCTAAACCCACACTTACCCCGCAAAGCAAACCAGCCTAAACCTAAACCAAGCAGCCGTAAACTTAAACCAACCCAAGCCTACCCTAGACCAACCCTAAACCACCTAAACCCACCGTAAACCCGCCGAGAACCCACCGCACCCTGGACCGGCGCTAACTTACCTTAAGCCAATCCTAGACTGAAGCCCAACCCGCACTAAGCCCACCGCGAACCTATGGGCGGCGTGCAAAGCCAACAAAATCCTTTGGTCCCCCAATCAGGGATGTGGATGCCTTTGCGTCCAGGTTGCGAAAGTCATCTCAGAAGTAGCTGGCTTGCGGAGTTTATTATCTCATTGTCGTGGGTCATGCTAGTCGGATGATTAGAGACTAGTGGGGTCGTTCGAACCCATAGCAGGGGCATTCGAACCCATAGATAGAGGCGGATGGATTCCAGGCGGTTGCTCTGCTGATTCCTTGCACGACTTTGGGTATCTTTGATTGATGTTTGGTTCGCGGCAGGTGTGCAGTGTTGTCCAACCGCCAGTTCGTCACATGTGCTTTGCTGAAACGATCTGGGCATGTGGCGTTCAGAACATGAAGTTTGAGTCTATGTGACATTTCGGACAATTAACCGCTGGCTGGTGCCGGGAGGGGGGGGGAGCTCTGACCTTGACTCCCCATGTCCGCGTCAGGCGCTGAACTACGCCATGGCCATGGGCGCGGAGATCTCCAGCAACAGTTGGGGCGGCCACAGCGAGAGCCCGGCCATGCAGAGCGCCATCCAGGCGCGAGTTGTGGGAGTCGGAGGTCAACTCTAGCCCAAGGCAAGAAGCAATGCGAATGCAATCTGCGAAGCCAAGCAATAAGCAAGACTAAGCGATGCTTCGCAATACTAAGCAAACTGTAAGCATATGGCATATGAACCTCCATGTGAGCAAGGCAGTTTGCAGTGGGTGCTTGGGGTGGGGTGCTGAAGCGCTTCAGCCGCAGGCAATCGTATGTAGTTTGTGATGCCAAGAAAGTACTTGGTTGCTGGCCCCTTTTGAGAGACCTGTCTACACATTGAGTTTTGGGCGGCGAGCCCAGGTGGCTATGGAAGAAGGCCACCTCTTCGCAGCACGGCAAGCTCTTTCGAGCTTTTGACAGGTCGTTTCAGTGCAATGCTGGCGTGGCAATTGGGCTGACTGCCGGTCAATTGGGCTCACCCGGACTGAAAGTCGAACATAGGCTGCGATTTGCTCACGCGCTCTCTTGTGGTTTTGGTGGGCCCGTTGATTCAACCCGATGGACTTGAAGCTTGCAATGATTCCGATCGTTCCAATGTGTTCTTGTCAAGTTGGGCGTTATGCAAACCTTGTGAGTCCTGCGCATATATATATATATACACAAAAGATCTATGAATTCCGGTACCTTATTGTGTACCTCTGAGCAAAGCCGCTTTTGTCCACTTCTTTCGCGCTGCTGCCCTTCAGCATTTCTCCACCAACCAAACCTGGCGGCGTGCCTCCGACAAATCGGGCCTTGTGGGGAGCATGGCTGGAGCCCTGCCGTGTTGCGCGCGCCGAATTCGCACTCGGCTGACAGCTCTCCTCCTTCCGCCTTATGTGCCGTTGCCCTGGCTTCAGTCTGCAGGATGTCTGCGACGCCTTTAGTCGACGGTCTCCCTATCTTGGTAGTCCGGCCCACGGCAAAACTACCTCCATGCCATGTGCTTGTTGGCAAGCCTGGCCTCTTGCTCACCATGAAAAAGCACGTTCTGGGCCGCACCCCTTGCTTGGACCTACATTGAATTCCAGCAGCATGGTCCACACGTGCGTTTTGATGGCGCCATATCTGGCGCGCTGCGCACAGTTTTGTCGGCGGAGATTCATCGGCAACCGCAATTCTGCTCCGTGTACGGAACTTGGCCACCAAGCACGCACCGTTGTACCGACTGGGCGCTGCCTCTCCGGCCATCCAGAAAGGCTTTCAACCGCAGGATGCGAGGGATGTGGCGCACCGCAACCCAGATCTCAGTCGCACTTGGAGTATTGTGGCTCCATACGCGGTGTCAAGCACGTGTACAAGTACACCTACAAAGGCCACGATGCCGCTGAGTTTCACAGCGCCTCCTCGCTATGTGCAAACCAACCTGAAAATGTCAAAGCTTTGCACCGCGGCCCCCTTCCATGGCATGGATGGGGAAGGGGCAGGTCCACCCAAGTGTCTTATCTACATATATATGTATATGTCTATGTACACATGCCTGTTTGTTAAGATACATGCATCCCAATACACCTGGAATGCCGCATTGTACAATCAAGGCCTTGAGCCTTAGTGCAGCTGGAGTAGTTGGCACATCATTGTCCATAAGTAAAACAACTGCGCTTCACTTCGCACACAGGTTCATCACATCAGGTAATTAGGTATACAGTTGCTCCAAGTTTAACATGGTAGCGGAGCAGTGATCCCTGGTACACGATCCACACACACTACCCAGGGTGAGCTCCAACACGCACCCACAGGTTCAGGCATACAGCAGTGAACGCAGTTACACACCTGGAAAGATCTGGCGGCCTTTCCATACAACACACAAGGAACGGCGGCCCAACAACAACAACAACAACAACAACAACAACAACAACAACAACAACAACAACAAGAGCACCACGAATCACAGGAGAATACAACACCTTCGAAGAATGGAAGTGCAAGATGACAGCACACCTAGGACTGCAAGACCCAGCATACAACAGACTGCTGAGACAGTCAGAGCAATCGCAACTGGCAGTTACAAATGACCAACTTGAGACAGCAGCACCTTCACAAGCAACAGCAGAGCAATGGATACAACTGAGCAACAACTTGCACTACCTCTTAGTGAGCACATGCGATGGACCAGCATCTACAATCTGCAGACAAAACACGCAAGGCGACGGATTTGAAAAATGGCGGCTGATACATGCAAGGTATTCCATACCACTTGGTACAAGGAGCATTGGGTACCTTAAACCACAACTTGATGAACAGAAGTTCGACGAGAGCTTCACATCATGGGAGTTTCAACTCTCCAAGTATGAACAAGACAACCACACACTACTAATGCAGTCAAAACCGCAATACTGCTCAATGAGACAAAAGGACCACTACAGCAACACCTACAGTTACAAGCAAGACACTGCAGAGCAGCACCATCATCCAACAGGCTACAAGCAATCACATTAGGCGCCAATGGACATAGGAGCAACGTGGTGCAACAAAGGCAAAGGAAACAAAGGCAAGCGCAAGGGCAAAGGAAAGTACAACAAAGGCAAAGGCTATGGCGGCTACGGGAACAACTACAGCTACAACAACTACAAAGGAGGAAAAGGCAAACACAATCAGCAACCGGTTGGACAAAGAAACCCTGTCAAAGGAAAAGGATACAGCAACAAAGGAAAAGGCAAAGGATACAAGGACAACACGCATATGGCAAAAGAAAAGGATACAGCAACAAAGGAAAAGGCAAGGGATACTACAACAATCAACCAGCAGGAAATGGAGCAAAAGGAAAGCAAGCAACAAATGCTTGCCAGGACACATGGCCAAACAATGTAGAGTGGCGATCTACAACTGCGACATTGGCAACTTCGACACCAATGACCAGACAGATGACTGGTACAGTCAGGCACACTATGGCAGCAACTGGTACCACCAGGATCAGACACAGATGCAACAACTAGCACGCCACAACCAGCAGATTCATCAGCAGTACCCATCTCAGGATTACAAGAAGTAACAATTGCCATGATTGGCGCAGCGCAACAAATCAAAGAAGATAACAAGTGGGTCAGTCTCCTGATTGACAGCGGTGCGGCTACACCTGTATGCCACCATGGTTTGCAACACAATTTCCACTACAGCGCCTCAGGACCACAACTGAGAACAGTGACCAACCAACACATCAAGCTTCACGGGTACAGATGGGTTTGCGTGACAAACCGCAGTGGACAACAGATTGTCATACCATTTTAAGTTTGTGAGGTGAAACAGCCAATTCTTTCGGTTACTACAAGGCTGGTGGAACAAGGTTTCCAGCTTACACTGGATGACAATCCAAGACTACAGCGCACCAAAGGATTCAACAGCACATTTGGAGAACAGAGATGGCCTGTTCTTCCTACAAGCAGAAATCACAACACTGCCGAGAGGAACAAAGCTACAGATACACAGCCCACTGCAAGGACAGATTGGCATGATAGCGCCGACCACAACGCTTACACCGCAAGGTCCTGCAGACACAGGTTACGCAGGAGACTACTGGCAGTTCAACACACAAGGTGAACTTGTCAGAGTACACAGACAATCAGGAAGACACTCTTCACAACATCAAGAACGCAGTGTCCAGTCCCAGCAGAACAACTTGAGGACTACAGAAAAATCAGACCCAAGGATGGCGCAACGAACACGTTTGAGGACTAGTGCCAAATAACAGATGCTCCAAACAAAGCACAAAAGCAAATGTGGAAAGGAGAAACAGCATTCAGGATCAAGACAAGAGACACTGCTGCAACAGTTTGCAACAAAGACGCAGCCAAAGAGCGCGCCGCAGAAAGTTACACCACAAGTAATTCAGTACAATCCACGCACACGACTGAGAGAGAAACAACAGCACAGGACACAGCAGCACCACACACCACGAAAGGTGCAGCTGGACAAGGACTACCGCGTCCTGCAGAAGTACATCGTGGAGGAGACTACTGGCGCAGAGAAGGCCCATACTGGAAGAGAATACACATCAAGCCACACACACACACACGGCATTTTACACACCAGAGCAGACACATGACGGGCCTGACATTAAGCGACTTACACCTTGCAAACAGACCAAGGTAACCGGGAAAAAGCGCAACACAAGATTGGTAGAAGATGAATGGACAGTGCAGCAAGCAAAGACATCAGACAAGCCTTGGACAGGCTGGACAAAGTTCGAGGACAGGATTTTGATGATGAGGAACAACAGCAAGGCGCAAGAGCAAAAGCAGCACAAGCACCCAAGCAACCAACACTACAGGAGTTGGTGTCCAATATGCGTACAAGCAAGAGGCAGACAGAACAATCACCCAAAGCAACGCAGCAAGCTTCCAGTCACACAGCGTACATCAAAGGCTTTGATGACAGTAACGTACATCCAGTTCGCACAGCAATTGACATCCAATCTGGGATGATCATGGCACTACAACTGACCGACAAGAGGGTGCTCTTCGATTATGCAGTTACACAGAATCGGATCAGGAAGACTTCCTGACAGCGCTCATCACAGCAGTGGCCAACAAGAATGGCAACATCGCCGCAAGGAACTCTGGAGCATACAGCTCACAATCACAAGGTGGAGTAGAACGAGCGCACAGCACATTGTTTGCACAAATCAGAACACTCAAGGCGCAGATCAAGTAGAACTACAACAGAGACATCCACTCATGCCTTGGATAGTTCAACACAGCGCACACATCATGAACAGGTACGCAGACAAGCTACTTCAACAGATGGAACAGAGAGCAACACACACCACTTTGCGATTTTGGTGAGACAGTGCAACACATGCTACCAACACTAAAACAATTTCCAAAACTCGAGCCAAGGTTCTACAACGGGATCTGGCTTGGCAAGGACACAACTACAGGCGAGTCCCTCATCGGGATCTACAACAAGATTGTCAGAGCAAGGACAATCAGAAGGCAGATAATGCCTCACAAATGCAATCAGCAACTACTGGACACAGCTCCATGGAAGACACCAGCATCAGCACTGCCTACACCGACTCTCACAACACCAGTTACAATGCCAGCAGCAAGCAAGGCACTCGCATCCCAGAAGGATGCAACAACAAGCGCAGCAGCAGAAGGCAAGAGACAGAGCGCATCACAACCAAGCGATCAGCCAACAAAGCAGCAGAGAACAGCAGAGCCAACATCACCAATGGCTACATCACCAACACATCAGAAACGACCAGCATTGCCAGCGCCACCGCCTACAAGGCAAGCAACACCACAGCAGAGAGACAAGCGCTGGAGCGACCTAAAGCAGCCGAACAGCCAAAAGGCAAAATGAGAATAAATGCCATCAAGCTCACAACAAAGGATGGTAAACAAATGGAGACAACATCCAGCGAGCAGCGCGGACACAGAAGAAATCCATTGATCCTACTAGAGCCAATCATACACAACACAGAAGGCTTGGACCCACTGGCACAAGGAATGAACAAAGAAGCGCAACACATGAAAGACCAATCAGTCTTCACAGAGATTGATGGGACCACAATGACATCAGAACAACAAGCAAACATCATCGAGTCAAGATGGGAAGTACGAGCACGCATAGTAGCAAAAGGCTACACAGAACCCGTTATAGCCTCTTTGCCAGTACACCATTGTTTTGCACACTAAGAATACTTCTCACAATGGCACTGGTGTACAACTGGTCGGTCTGTACAGGAGATGTCAGTGTTGCATTCCTACATGCAGCAGCAATCTCCTACAACCTAGTAATGCGACCGCCCCACAAGTTAACAGACACATAATGTGGCGGCTGAACAAAGCCATTTATGGCCTACGATCATCACCAAAACAATGGCAAGACCACATAGCACACATTCTCACAGTCACACTTGAACTTGTGAGACGCACAACAGAAAGCAATGTCTACAGATCAAAAGACTGCCAAGTCTACATGATCTATGTAGACGACCTCCTCTTAATAGGAGTACAGAGCATCATTGACACACTGTTCAGCAGAATACAGAAAGAAGCACTGCTGAGACACACAAGCACCCTCAATGTAGGCACAACAATACATCTCTTGGCAGGAACATTTCACACAAAGGCAACTACATCGACATGAGCTTGAACAACAACTACATTGACATCATCCTGGAAGAATCAGGAATGACTACATGCGCAGGAGTGTCACACATGAGAGGTACAGCAGAAGATGAAGCGCTGCCTGACCACGAACAGCACAAGCAATACAGGCGGCTTGTTGGCAAGGTACAGTGGCTAGCACACACACGACCAGACATCAGCTATGGAGCAAAGGAGCTAGCAAGATCACTACAAGCACCAACACAGTTTGACAACAAGAAGCTCAATCACATGATAAGGTAGTTTAAAGGCAGAAGGCGCTTGCGACGCAACCTGCAACCAAAGAGACAGACACAGGACAAGCGAATCCCACGCAACATCGGCACACACTTCAACTCCCAAGGGAGGATGCTAATCCTTCGAGTACAACTGATGAGTCTCGAGTGCAACTGATAAGTCTCGAGTAGGATAAGTTTCGACTCGCGAAGCACTCGGTTTCCCTCTAGAGACGAAAACGTTACCAGAAAGAACAAGAAGCACAAACAGCGCCGCAACCAAGGGGGCCAAAAGGACATTCAGCAACATCACTTCACACATGCAGGTACGCTGGGATGATCAGTCCCAGTATCACCACCGATGGCAAGTGTCTTCGTTGGCAGGAGACTTGCCATGGTGCTCCTGCCCCCTGCGCTCAAATGCCACTCCGCACACACACACACGCCCCTCTACGAGGGGCGTACACTGCCTTTTACATCCGGAAGACCAAGCGCTCAACTCCCCAGTGTCTACCAAAATGTGCACAACGGCGAGGAGAACGTGAATTCTCACGCTCTGTGCGGTGCCGCTCAGAAGACGGGGATGTAGGTACATTGGACTGGTCCTTCAGTTACACCAGGGGTGCGCATGGTTTCTTTCAACAATCGGCCACATCACAAACTTCCTCATGAACTGCAACCTGACAGGGACTTTGCGATTTTGCAACACATTGTCATTCCCATCCAACAAATTCTGGATACAGAGGATTGATTGGATCGAGTACATGCAGGCTTCTCGATGGCTTTGAGCCACTACACACACCCTGCAGTACCTATTGCTTATTTGTACATCAAGGCCTTGAGCCTACAGATAGACTAGAGCCCATTGCCTGGAGACAACAAGTGCCGAGCTGACACATCACAGGTTTGCACATTCAGGCAGTTAGGTGATTACACAGTCAGTCCCACATTAACAACGCCGCACGCCTATACATAACATGGTTGAGTGCCACCTTTTTGGCGTCTTAAAGATTGCACAAGGCCAATCGATTTCAAAAGGACAACCAACCAGCGTGATTGAAGTGCAACCCGCCTCAGGTATCAGCTGCAGGTAATGACAATAACAATGCCGACCAATATCCGTTCTATCCCTGCGTTTATCCACATGTTGCGCGGCTGCAACATGATGGGGGAAGCAGGCAATCTTGCTTGCTTAATGCTGCCACTACCTACTTGGAGAAGTCATATTGGCCAATACTGTGTAAACAAGCGCTGTGTGACAGTCGAGACCTGGCGTGGCCTGCTCAGGTTCTCTGCGTAGCTGCAAGCAATCAGGAGGACCTGCTTGAATGCCCATGTTTGTGCTTGTTGACATGTGCGCGGCAGGACCAATTTACATTTTTCACCAACTATGGCGTGGAAAGTGTCGAGCTTGTGGCACCAGGTCAAGACATTGTCAGCTACTTGTCACTGAAGCTGAGAGGAATTGGAATCGTTGAATGCGTCTTGAATTCACCAAACTCAGCTGGCTGCGCCAGCCGTCGACATTTCGTACTGTGCATGCCCAACTGAGGGATAAGCCGCATATTCTTGGAACACGTGCCCAACACATTTTACCAGATATGTTGTTTGTTGGTCACGGAACCTGTCAAGTTTGCCCGAAGATTTCTCAAGGATGTTCAAATTCTCTGTTGAGCAAATGTACATGTCCTAAGGGCACATGGGGTTTGCGGCCAAAGCAAGAAACACCCTCACAAATGCAGGCTTTGTCAGCATTGCTTGCTGAGCAACTGTGCTTACTAGTATGGGGCGTCCGAGAGAGAGAGGAATTGCAGCAAAGGCAAGACACCACCAGGAAAAATGTGAAGGGAGCAGGCCAAACCAACACCACCAGCGTCACCTGCGACCAAGACTGGGAATGCATTCCTAAATACGCCGACCTTGGTGGTGCCACCTCGCGACCTGCAAGGGACAGAATGCAACAAGAACCAGAGAACACCTCGCAAAAGGCTCCAAACTTCGGCTTTAGCACGGATTGCGGGGGAAGACCATTCATTACACGCTCGAGTGGCGTCGGCGTTTTTATATTTTGCATGGTAGTTCAAGTCAGATGCTCCTGGCCTTGTACTCAGGCACTTACCTGGGCAATATGCAGTACTCTTCTTTGACGGGTACCTCTTTTGGCACCTCAATAGCCCTTTGTCTGCGCAGATCCCTGAACGCCTTCAGCGCCAAAGTTTAAATTTCAAGCACGGCGCTCGAGGTGGCGGGCGCTGCAGCATTGCTTTTCAGCTGGCTGCGCACGGCCACCAGCACTGTGAAGACTGTGGAGGTCTGGACGAAGCGCCAAGGGTCTGTGAGCAATGAATCCCGCATAGTTCAAGGTCACGCTCCAACCGATTGAATAGGTGCGGCCCTTTCTTGTGGACTCATGTGGATTGCAAGAGGTTGACTGATTGGCTTCTGACAAGAGGCTGTTTGGGCCGGATGTCAGGGGTATGCATATGTATAGAACATATATCACACACACACATACTGAATACATATGCATATATGTTCCAGGCCGTGGACCCCCCCAAAAAAAATAGTAGAAAGATTGGTTCTAAGGCAGGGTATTTTCAGTTCAGGGTTTCAGGGTTCAACACCACTTTTCAACAAGCAAACCATTTTGTTCAAAACACCAAGGGGGATTGTAGGGAATTTTCCTAAATTTTCTCAACATTTTTTACATTTTTTTCATTATGAAACAGTCTAAGATATTGACATTTACATGGTTAGGATTATGGATTTATCAATCATATTATAAATTAACAATATGATAGATAATTATGGTTCTGTTTCATTTACTATATTCATGTTGTTTAGATGTTTTTTAGTTCGCTCGTGTCTTGCTTTGTGATGAAAAGTCACCATAACTTTACAGCAGGGACATTCATATCGCCATTGTCGATATTCTTTGTTATATTCTTTTTTGTATTCCTTATTTCGTTCATAATATTCCTTTGCCTGTTGCCTTTCCTTTTCTCGGTTCTGTCTATGTTTCTCTCTACTTTTCTCATTACACCCATTACAGAGTTTTCTATTATCAGTAAATTCTACATCTGGGTTAGACTTTTTACACCAAGTACATTTTCGCTCATTTTGTTCCTCCATAATATTTATACCCATTATCCCTTTAAATGTTCTTGGGTATTTCTCAACATTGTTTTGCAATTTTTTCATTATGAAACAGTCTAAGATATTGACATTTTCAAGGTTCGGGTTTCAGACAATTTTAAGGCTTTCTGGGGGATTGAAGAATTTAATCGTATTATAAGATAATAATATAAATAAACTGACTGAATTCTATTTTTTACATAACACTCACTAATTTTCTTTTAGGCTAAAAGTTCCCTAAAGTTCGCTATAATTATAACATATAAGATTTTACATGTTATTATTATAGTATGATTATAATCTCAGTACAGGATAATAATTTAATTGACACATCTTACTTATTTCATACATCATTCTAAAAATAATATTAGTGTCTCTCACTGTATTCTGAACATTAAACTTTTGACTTTCAATAATTAATTTGATATTTTCTTTAACATCTTCTCCTTTCTCTTGACTATAACCCAACATCCATAATATATCATAAATCATGTCATATTTTTCTTACTGATTTTAAGAAACTGTTTAACATAATCGTAAGGTGGTATTTTATTTACAGTTAGAAATATTAAAATCTCATCTTCTACATTTCTATTATTTATTCTTTTTATTCCCAACACATTTGATTAATTCTTGATAATATCTCCAATTTCTACAATTTGTACATATGTCTTCTTCACCATCCATTGAATAATCAATAATATTATTCACTATTTCATTAGGCAAATTCAATTTATACAATTCCATATTTTCTTTTTTGAAGTGACAACAATCATAGCATTTTTTATCGATATAATTATTGATTCCATCACCGTTCATTTTCCTCTTAATATATAAGGTAATATTTCTTTAAGTAGTTTTGGCTAGGGCGTGTAGGGTAGGGTATTTTCAAGGTTCGGGTTTCAGACAATTTTAAGGCTTTCTGGGGTTTCAAGTGTTTAATAATATTATAAGATAATAATATTAATAAACTTAGTCATCATCACTAAAATCATAAGTATCCATATAATTAAACCAGTCTAAAATCAACCTTTTCTTTTCTACCAAATGACAGACGAATCTACGGTAAAACTCATTATCAAAAATGTGCTTATAAACGACCTTGTCTTTGTTTTTTATATATTGCCATTTCAACATTTTAAGAAAATCCCTACACATCGAGATGCTAAAATCTTTACAAGATACATAAGCGTCATTATGATTAAAAAGTAAATTATAATGAAATTGAGTAGCGGTTTCATAATACAAGATTAACCTATTATCGTATCCATACTCTTTTAATGTTTTGTCAAAATCAGTTGTAAATATTGTATGTAATGACTTTTTCGTCGGACATTTATTTAACCTCGTCATATACCAAATCCACTTATCCATTTCTTTTAAATTGTCAGGTTCGTTTTCCATTAAATGTTTTGTAATGGTGCATCTTTTACAACATACAAAACTCAAAATATTATCAATGATACAGTCAGGAAATATGTCATTTGCTTTTTTGACTTTGTTGTTGAATATCTTACAACCACGGCATTTTACAATTTCTTTTGTCAATTCTTCTCTGATACACTTATTCATTTTTTTCTTAATATATTAAGGGGTCATTTCTTTAAGTAGTTTTATTTTTTCTTCTTGCCTCTGCTACTTTTTGTGTCAGCGCTTTCTGGGCTTCTGCTCCTGCTTCTTGTTTCCATTTGTTCCCTCGTCCATTCACTACCTCTTGCTATTTCTTCGGGTGACCGACTTCTGCTTCTCGTTTCCATTTGTCTTATACCCCATTGACTGCCTCTTGCTCTTTCTTCTGGTGAGTGACTTCTGCTTCTTGCTTCTACCTGTCGTCTTGTCCAGAATGATGCCCTTGGTTGTTCTTCTTGTTCTTCGGATTGAATGGACGGTGAGGATGACTTCTTTTCTCGTTTGAATAATTCAAACACACTCTTGTCTTCTCCACCTAAAAATATGTTTCTTAATGACTTTATTTCTCGGCTTTCCTCTTTCTTCTCTTCCTCTTTCACGGTTGATGCTGACGATGATGACGTTAAATGAAGACTTGTAAATCTTCCTGCTTTTCATCTTTGGTTCATCTTTTGGTTCATCTTTTGGTTCATCGTTTGGTCCTGAAATTGCATTGCTATAAATTTCATCAGCAAAATCTTTTGCTACATATCGTGTTGTTTGTGCGTCTGCCTCGTTGTTTTCATATAACTGTGATGTTGGTGCTACTTCATCAAACATATCAGGGAACAATTCATGTTGAAGAACTTGTTTATCAGTTTGAACCCTAGCATTCAATCGTAGTCTCTTATCGTATTTTGAAAGGTCAAAATCATCAAAGTCTATATTATTTGTGATTAGCCATGATTCATATCATCATCAGGGACGTCGCGTTAGTGACCGACCTGTGGTGTTTTGGCTCAAGTTTTGGGTTCCGTCGCGCCTCGAATGGGCGTCGCCGAGCCCCTGCGTCGACCGACGGCATCTCGGGGGAGAAAGAGACCTCGGGCCGCCGCCAGGTTGGTAGGGACCAGTCGTGCGGCCTGTTGTCGACCAAGGTTGCGGGTTAACCCTTTTCTTGTTTGGTTTGTTTTCCTTTGGTTGTTGTTCTCTGGTGTGTGGGAAACCCTGATCTTTGGGACCGGGGATTGGTTTGCTTTTGGGGAACCTTTCTTTTGTGGCTTGTTTACCCCAACTTACCCATTGCCTGGGCACAGGCTCGTGCCCGAATCACAGGTTATCAGCCGTAGGACTTTCCTACGCGCTTGAGACCATCAACTACAAGCTCTATGTCGACCCCACGATCTCGAAGGAGTGTCGTGGATGAGGAGGCCATCCTAGGGGGCCTCCGCTCAGGTGAGGACCTACCGGACTATGACTACGAGGATTTCGAAGCAGGTTCGACAGGTCAGGATCGCAGGGGTGAAGATCCCGGTAGGGACACACCCAGGAGCCGTGGCAGGTACACCGACGATGGAGACGACCGCATTTTCCGTCAGGCCACCGATGATGAGCAGACACGAAGGGTTCGCTCCGATAGGAGCGGCTCTGAATCAGGTCACAGGCGCGGACAGTTCGACTTCATCAGCATGGCGATGAACATGGCCCGCCCCCATTCGGATGACCCGGAGGCTATGCCGACCCGACCCCCGAGATCTCTTGTTCCAGGTGAATCGCAGGTCTCGGATGAGTTTGAGGACAGGCCGCAAGGACCAGGGACTATGGTTTTGGCTCCGAGAGGTATCTCGGGTCGATCCACTGGTTCTCAAAATCCAGGTCAGTTTGATGAGCACGAGGAGCGGAAATTCTCAGACTTCGGATACGATGCTCTGTTGAAATCAAGCGCAGGTTGGGGCAGTAGCTCAAAGCAGGGATCTGATGCCGGTAGGCCCAACCCTAATACTGCCAAATCTGAGTCTTATGATGGCGAAGATTACAATTTTGCGGATGAGGAGGAGGACCAATCACGCCGAAATGCTAGGATCCGTGATGCTGCGAGGCCCAGGAGCCTCTCTCGTGGAGCCGCCAGGGACCTTCGTGTCGACAGGGACGCCCGAGGCGAGAGAGAGAGAGCCAGGGATAGTCGGGAAGTTCTTCGACGATTGGAGGCCATCCATGACCATGAGGGACCGATAGGTCCCCCAGCGATTGGTTACCCCGAATGTTCCCCCTTTTCCCAACATTACCTTTGGAGGTCCGTTGAATCAGAGAGACGTGAACTCGAACCGGGTTACTGGTTCGCCGAGGATCACTGAGCGGGCTGCCGATATCGTTAGGTCAGGTGCCAGAGATGGTCGGCTTGCCGATGCACTCGGGATCAAAGATCGTCCGTCGATCGCTAGCCCGTTAGGGTGAAATACCAGTGACCTTGAAACGCTAAAGGTCTAGCAACGAGTTCACACCTCAATGGGGCCGTCACCCCTCGCCATTGAGACCGATAGGTCGAAGGCGAGGAGAGCTAGCCCCTCACCAATGGGCTCAACTCCGCAGGATGAGGAGATGCCCGATCCTGCTGATGTTCACATTCACTCTACCCCCGAGTCTCGTGCATCTAACATTGATCCCCGATCTGGCGATAGCCGGAGAAGGGGATCTACC